TAAACTATCTTTGTAATCATACGTTTTTGTTTTTGTTCCCCGACGTGCTTCACATCTACAAAGTCCAGCGTAAGCAGTTGATTTCGAGATCATATCAATTAAAAAGAATCAAACTCATTCCTATCTCCATGTGCTTTTGTAAAGATCTTGTTTCCATTTTCGTCTATTTGTTTGTTTGGAAGAAAAACAGTGTAATAATAATATTCATTTCATTTCAAAGATAAATATTTCATTGAAAGAAAAAAAAATTAAAGGAAATAATTAATCTAAAAAATAATAATACTAAAAAAATTCAGAAAAGAAGAAAGCAATATGTTATTGAAATAATAGATGATATATAATACAAGTCAAAGAGTCTTTTTTCTTTTTCTTTCTAAACTATTGTAATTACGAGATCATATCAAATATACGACAGATAACATAGTTTATGCTTTTGATCCTACACATACGGGATCTGATTTTGGGAGATTTGCATTTCCAATATATATCATAATCTTTTGCTTTTATGACCACATGGATCGATATAACATGTGTGTTGCGTGATTTGTCAAGCTTTTCGACAATCAAGGTTATACATGAGATAGCAGCTCAATATTATTCGGGTTTACCGCTGATTTTACATGGAAGAGTGTACTTTATTTCATGTTACACATTGTTTCTCTGTAGTTGACAATAGAGCCAAACAATCGAATGCGTTTTGACAATAGAGTTTCCATGCATGTAAAATGTAGATGATGATCTTGTTATCGCCTTCAAACATTGAAGTTATTGAAGGTACGTGAGACATATACGCCCTAATATTATTGAAACTGGACATGTGAAAAGCATATGACCAAGTCTTGTTGCGGTAACAATAGCTTTAGATGATATACCCGACTGATATATTACTAAACAGTAGAAATTTGACCGAGAATGTTTTAGTATAGAAATAATATAGTACAATAATATTTTTTTATTAGAACACACAATTTAGATAAAACAATTTCCATTCAAAGTCCAACCAACCAAATTAATTGTGTTCCACTAAATTTGCAAAGGTAGTCTGAACTTTGTTAACCAGATGCTCTCCATAGACAACTCTTTTGACAACTTGTGATTTGTTATTTTCTGGGTACTTCTCTTTGAAGATATCCAATGGCTCAACCATTGCATCAAAGTTAGTCTGTTCGAACAAGATACATGATTTCAAAATCTGAATGAGAAAAAACACAAAGACTGTTACAAGATTATTGTACGTACCTCGTAGAAGAATGCAATGCATACACGGTCTCGAGGAGAGTTATTGATCACTCTATGAAGCGTGGCTTCGTATACTCCGTTGGAAAGTATCTACAATATATGATTCCCAAAATGTTTTCAAGAATTGTCGAAACGAAAGAAAGAGATATATTAGAGAGAGATAGAACAAACAAAAACCTTTAACATGTCACCGATGTTGCATATAAATGATCCAGGGTTTGTAATAGCTGATATCCAATCGCCAGTCGAATTTCTCACCTTTTCAAAGATACCAAAAAACAAACTCTAACCATTTTTGTAGAGGCGCAAAATCAGAGAAGATAATAGTAATAATATTATTACCTGAAGAGCATTTTTATCATCATCTTGATTTATTAGCGACAACAAGCCTACAAATTTTCGGGTTTTCTCTCTTTTTAGACAAAAAAAAAACTATTAAAATATATATATTCATTATCTTGATTCAAGTTCAAGATTTACTAACCATAGTCAGTGTGAGCTCCACTGGAAATTTTGTAAGCCAAAAAGAGGAGACAAGTTAATACTACTAGTAAAGTGGAATAAAATGTCGTTGAAGTAAAACAACAATGAGAACAGTTACCATCCGATTTCATTTTTGCCGTTTACGCCTGGATAACCAATAATACGCATTACCCAAAAAGGATCTCCAACCATTTTACCTTCAAACTCATAAGGTGATCCACCAAGAGCTAAGGAAATTCCTCTCAAGATGTTTCTAGAAAGATCTTGAAACCATGAAACTTACAAAAGTAAGAATCTCTTAGTTGGAAACAAAGCACATAAAATGATCGAAATGGGTAGAACACACACCTGTGCAGAGCTTAATATACTCTTCCATCAACTCTTTGTACTCTTGACAAGAATCCGACGTCCCGACAAGCCCGGTCTAGTTTTCTGACAACCTCCGCCACACCGGCATCCTCCATCATGTCGAAATCATCACATTTGACCAGCAAAGGACTGATGTCTACAAAAACATTGTCTCACTTTTAGTTTCTTTGGCATAATAATAAATACTTTGATTATGAGAGTGATATTTGTGCTGGATACCGATAACCGGTAGTAGTGATTTGAAGTCTGTAGCCATCTCAGATTCTTAGACAATGATAGGAAATTTTCCGTTTTGGTCTTAATATAAAACTATATATTTGCAATGAATCGTATCTTAGATGGTTATGTAATTATATTTCAGTAGTGCCCCTTACGATTATTAGAGACCAAACGGCATGGTCGGTCTGGAATGGATAATCGACAGTACACGCATATGTGACATTATATTTGATAAAATCCAAAAAACGGATCAGAAATCACGTGTGTGAATTAATTTGTTAAAAGACCCATCTCGAACAACTAAACAAAATCAACTTTATGGCTCAACAAAAACAAAAAGTGATATTATGCACATGTGAAAAACATGGAGAAATACAAATTTCTAAAGCATACAAAAAAGTGAATCTGGACTTGTTTTCTTAAGATGTTGTTTGCTCGTGAATTATTTTTCAGGTTTGGTGGCTGGTTTGTCTGTGCATTCATTTTCTAGGTGATCGGAGGAATAGTGAATCTGGTTCGATTCGGATCACACCGAAAAATATAAAGAATCGGAGACGAAAGTATAATCTGAATAAGATAAGACTAAATCCCTCGCATTGTCACATAAGGAAGAGAACAAAAAACATTTTTTAGAAGGACAGAAACAATAAAGAAACAAAGGTCCAATGAAGAAAACATATATTAAAAAAAAGCCTCAACTATTTCCAAACAAAAAGCAAGTTCATAGAGAACTCTTGCAGATAAGAGTTGAACAATAAAAACCCTTTTTCATCATGTACCCTCTTAAAATAGTTCCATCTCAATGCAGAGAAATCATCGTTTTATTTCTGAGGATGTAATATCACAACATACACAATAGCTTACTCGTTCCGGATTGTCTGATACTTCTCCCATAATGGTAGAGACCTCTTCATATCACCCATTAAGCTCTTAAATTTGTGGCTATAATCCACTCCACTGATACGATCCAAAGATGAGATTGCACGAAGAGCACTTCTTATCATGTCTTCATTACGATCATGCTCTTGCTTCACCGCATCTTGCTTTGGTTTGAAGTTTATTGTTTTTTGCAGTGGTTCCACAAGAGAATCCAGTACTGATACATTCATATAATAAGGAATTTATGACAGATTAAGAACATTCTACTACGGTTTAATAAAATAATGATTTTGGAAGGTTTGATTAGCATACCAGCTAGTACGGCTGACGGGCATTTATCGGCTAGTAGAGAGAGTATAAGATGACAAAGCATCTTTAGATCATAATGATCTGTATAAACAGAGAATTGTATAAGATTATACTAAGAAAATGGCGGATTAATAATTAACATAAGAGAGATAGACACTCACCTTCTAGTCCGGATTTGAGGAAAGGAATAATGAAAGAAGACGGGTTCAGTTGATCAAGACAGCTATCGAGCAGAGTAAATACACACTCAAAAGCCGCTTTCCTCAGTTCAAGCCCATCGTCAACAACGTGCTTGAATGGGCCTAGATCAACCGTTCTTATTAATTCTTTCTGCAAAAGAAATAAATGTCTCAGGCGATGGAACAATGAAACCTTCCAAATTTTGTGTTACATCACTAAGAACCTTTTAAGGAAATTACCTTAATAACAGTCTGATCGTAAAGAAGCGGTAACAATTCAGGGAGTAGTCCTTTAATAAGGTTTGGTTTATAATGAGCAAAAGTACTCAAAGCTGAGACAGCTGCGCGCCTAACATGCTGCATAAACCATGGAATGGAGTAAGAGCTATGATTATTTAAACAACAATATCATTCTTATGCAATAGGGTTCGTTTATTTGACTTACCCGATCACCATCCTTAATTAGCATGAGGAAAGAAGAAATCTCTGGGAAGATGATTTCATCTAGTTTCTCAGGCCGTTCCACTACAGAATATTTCACAGCAGTAACAACAGTCGCACGAGTAAAAGCGGCTGGACTCGTCGTCCTTACCTATAAAATTCAGAATGGAAACAAATATTATTCATCGCTAAGCATTATAGCAATTATAGCAATTGAGTATATGAACCAGATAGTGAGATTGTTCTGAAGCTGTTGTTCTCTACCTGGAGTGCAGGAACCAGCTTTTCAGGTTCTATCAACGCCATTTTTCCCAAGCATTCAGCAACAACATTTCTTACACCTTCTTCCTCGCTTTCACAGTGGTTAAACAGTAAAGCAAGTATTTTCTTAACACTGGAACTCCTAAAGTCCGCTTTATCAACAGACTGCCTCACGATAACCTGAAACACCGAGGAACAAGATATGAAATGCAACACTAATCTGATACTATAATATGGATACTTAGTTCAGGAAAACATACCTCCTTGAGTGAATGAAGGAGAATGTATTGTTTTTTCTGTTGATTATCAATCTGGTTCAAGATAAAGGGTAAATAATTGGATAGATTGCCCACAGCAATATTTCCAAGAGCATATGAAGCTGCTGACTTTATTTCTTCAAATGGAGATTGGAAAGACTCAATGACGATTGTTTCAATGCCAGCATGTGCACTTAGGTCTTTCCTTCTCCCAATCTCACCAAGAGACAACAGGGCGAGATGTTGTTTGGCCTGCACGAGAAAACCATCATCATAAAAATATGTCTTCAAATAGCCCTAGATCTACAAAAATTCTAAGCCCTAATGGCTCACACACTAATACAAAGTCAGAGAGCTTACTGAATTGGTGCTGCTGTCATCTTTAAGGATTTCCATAAGCATTTTAACTGTAGACGAACAATTCTGATCACCCGCGGCGAGACAAAGAACCGCAACACATTGCGCAATTGAATATAATGCTTGCTTTGGGACACCTCCAGACTGAGGAGAAGGCTTAGCACAAGAAAGTAACGAGTCCAGCAAGGTGTAGAAACTAGTATTTGCATGATACACCAGAGCTTCAAAGAAACCTTGCAGAGCCTGTGACAAGCATCCAAGAAATAATTTCTGTTTTATCTTTGATCTCACG